AAAAAAAAAAAAAAAGAAAAAAACAGTTTTTAAAACATCGGCTACAATTCTTCGTCCCGGTCTAAATCTATGTTGTTGTCTATTTCTTTAGTTTTCCATTTGTTAATTTCTGCTTGACTTATCAAGTCAGCTGTGTTAGTGTAGGATTTACATCAGAGTACTTTGTTTTGTTCCTGGGTTACCCTTCGCTTAAATACCGGGGGTTGCAAGAGCATAAAAGTCGGTTTATTGGAAAGTTGCATTTGGAAGATGTAGAAGAAGAAGGACAAGAAGGACTAGTAGTGGATTAAACTCTGAAAAACTCAGTTCAAGTCTCAGGAGTCCCGATATCTCTGTTGCCTGAATCGCTTAGTCCCCTACAATGTCTTGCATAGATAATTGACTAAGTGTTTGAAGCGAAGGACATTTAACTCATTGACTCCTGTGCCTGCCGAAACCGGCCGTGACGAGCCTTGGCCTTTCTTTCACTTCTGACGTCATCACCCTTGACCAAAATTGGTATCATCTGAGCTCAACTTCTACAGGAGGAAAATATCTTTCCAATGATACCCAGATTAGAGTGATCGACTCAATGGACCCTGAAATATGCATGAAAATGCTCAAAAAGTTGACTGAAAAACTCGGAGCAAAATTTCCTGCCACTACACGTGGCTACTCCACGGTAAAAATTACTCGTCTCGATGATGCTTTCTCAGAATTTTTTGAACTGGTAGCAAGCCCAGCAGAAGGTCAATCACTGCAGCAAAATGAAAAGAAAAGGAGAAAAAGAAAAAACGAAAAAAAAAAAAAAATCGAAAAGCCTAAAGACGTAGCTCACTTTCTCCTCCAACTGACTCGCATGCCCGAGCAAAAATGTGGTGAAACGTGATGTTAGTGGAAAGAAAGGCATGCTGTCATCTTGTAAATGCCGGGGTTAATTTGGCCCATATACAACCTGAAAATCTCCAAAAGGTCCAAAAAATGCGGTTTTGGAAAAACGCTCCAGGAGTCAATTGGGTAAATAAGTATAAAGCTTCGTAGGCTCTAAACCCACGAACTGCAACACCACGAATGTGCGAAGGTCATAATCCTATAAGTAAGGATACCACTGTGTTTGGCACCAAGCGCATTATTGTCATTATGTACAAGTCATTTTGATGTAAATAGGATATCTTGATTGATGACATTAAAATTGGGTATGATCTGTAGAATGCGTCTTGACTATATTGTTCATCTCCCTTGTTCTGTATGTTAAGTTGCTGAGCAGTTTATGTCAGCCACAAAATTTCTTGTGATAAATTATATAATTTAACGGTTTTCGAGAGTGATAGCGAGAATGTTTATTTAAACGAAGAAAGGCTTATATAAAACACAATCCACAATATGCATTTTGTTTTCAACTGTATGTATATGAGGAGAAAGCCTGGTTTTGTATGTTCACTGTTAATTACGTACTGAAATACAATGATAAAATTAACTCATCGTAGGAAAAATATGTTTTGTTTTATTTATTTTTTTAATAACACAATTCAAATCGATCAATTTCAAATCGTACCGCCAACAATTGCACTTGATATCAGCTAATGAAAAAGAGTTGGGGACAAAAGAAGCAGATGCATCATATTCCTTTTCCTCGTGTACTGCAACATGCAACATTTTTTCTGGTTTCAGCAGAGGCTCGACTTGTTTTCTTCCTGAGAAAAACCTTTCTTTATTGTCTTTGCTACACTGAAACCTCGATTTAAGGAGCCTCCATGTAACGAAGTCCTCGGTATAACGAACGATACTGCTCTCCCCAGTAATAGTAAATTATACGGAAAAGAATCCCTACAATAACAAACTTCGTTATAGCAAACATATTTTGCCAGTCCATTGGCCCTTCGCTATATCGAGATTCCACTCTACGTACAACAAGTAAAAAAAAAAGTATATGTTTCCTAGCTATATTATTATTTCTTTTTCGGATTTGTTTGTAGATTGAAGGGAGAAAACGTACACAGAAAAATAAGTCTTTTCCTTAGGATTTTAAAATTTATTCTTTTCAAATGCCCTTATAGCGCGTATTAACTCAAAGCATTCTTTTTGCAAATATACATTAATTCGTTGCCACATTGGAAATCATTCCAAACTCCTATTTGTGGTGGACCGCCAGGCCAAAACACTCCATTCGCAATTTCTCCACAGTCCTGCTCTTCATCCTCATCATTAGGTTGTTTATCCGCCCAGTTCGTGTACTCTGGATCTGTACCATCTGTCCAGACAAATGTTCCTTCCTTTTCCTTATCCGTGAGTCCGATCCACGCTTCTCTCATTACCTCACCGGGCGGAATTTGCAAGAATGTTTTTAGTAGGAAGGCGTTTTCCTCTTTTGATTCAATCTTAGTCAGATGAGCCGAGTTTTCTTTGCACGCCGCCACTGCATCTTCCCATGATTTCTTTTCGTCGAACCTTTTAAAACATTTGTCCCCATAAGCTTCCCAACCTTCTTCGCATTCTACAATAACAAAATAAACCGAGTTATAAAGCATCCTAGCAGAATTGGAGGAAAAAAAGGGAAACTTACATTTTAATAGTTACAATTGGTTTGGATCTTTGAAGTAGACCAATCAATCAAGACAAAGGCTTTCATGTCATTTTTTTTTTTTTTTTTAAGTTTTGTTTTGTTTTGTTTTGTTTTGTTTTTTGTTCTTTTTTTTGTTTTGTATCTAAATCGAGTTGTACTTTGGATATAATTGAATGAAAGTTTGAATTGATCCAAAAGAAACACGAAGAAGCCAACGCTTACAGTGTTTATAGCTCTCCCAAACATCCGTTGTGTTGTAGAAACACAAGTGAAAGCCTGGCTTTTTGGTTTAATTAGGTTTAGTCTGCGTACGAGCCAAGTGGCCCATCAGGCCGGAGGTTATCCCCGTTTCTGTAACATGAAGCGAGCAGGTATTTTTTCTACTACCACTGGATCCATTGGATGGGATAATAGTCAATCTCAGGGCTGCCCCAAGCATTAAATTCGCCGGCACCCATTTGCACACAGTGAGAGAGAAGCTGCGGCTAAAACTTGTTCAAGCAACCTTTGAAGTTGATAGTATTGCACACAAGTTATGAAAGTTGGTTAGTAAAAAACCAAAACAAAAACAAAAAAAAAAAAAAAATGTGGTAATGGAAAAAGAACTCAAAATGACAGAGACATGAAAGAAGGTAGTAATTCTGTAATGACGCTTAAAATGGCTGAATATAATATCAAGAATTGATCAGATTTGGCATAGCTAAGAGTCAATTATGGTTCTAATCTTCACCAACCTGGAGGGGGTCTTTTCAAAAGCGTCAGGAAACCATTAAAAATGACACAAAACCAATCGATAAAACTGCATTAAAGTCAATTACTGTACATAACAGGAAGGAAATTCAAAAATTGGAAAAACACATTCTTTTATACAGTTGTTACGAAAACATCAACCGGTTCGTGTACAATGGCAGGTCATAACAAATTGTTTCCAGATAGATTTGAGATAAATTTTGTTAACCGGTCTAAATAGGAGTAATGTAATATTAGTCAAAGAAGGGTTTCTTTTTACCGTTTCCAGTATAACAATAGTAACTTCAGGTAGGTGAATAGTACTTTATCTTAAAGCCATTTTTCCTCAACTCTAGCTTGCGAGGCTCTCGTGTGCTGCGGCACAAGCAAAGGCGAATCCGAAGAGGCTTGTCAGCAAGCAAATCACGGGCTCGCTTCGACCTAGCTTGCCGACTCGTCTCTAACACCTTTGCCTTTGCCTGCCATGAAGCGCATGTAAGCCGGCTTATTTCAAACGATTAATTATAATGCCGTCCATGAACGACGTATTTATGACAATATTAGTATGACTAGTAAATAAAATGAATTGTATGATCGTCTTGCGTAGAGATCTAATCGTTAGGAAGATGATGTACTTAAAAATAGCATTATAGAGTCAAACTAATAAGAAGTATACTCGTTGATTAACTGCCATATATAAACAGCGAATATAAACACTTAGTTAAGTATTTCCTCTCCTCATACTGACCAAAAAAATATCAGTGCTATAAAAGCAAGCAAATCTGAGACCGTGTTTTCACGATTAAATTCAGCTCTATATGTTGAGACTTTCCCAATAATAAACCTCATTGTATACTTTTAGCTTATTTCAGTATTTAACCTTGGGGTAAAGTCAGAAACATTTCACACTCGCTAGACGACATAGCAACCCGTTTTGCATCCCAATACCAATTGGATTAAGGCAATTTTGCTTTGTTTCGACTACTCTATGCATCATTCAAGTTTCTTCTTTCGTGACGAACATCGTGTCCACATATTGATCAACCCTTA